AATAATGCCCAATTGGTTCTAAAATAGTCTATACTCCAGACTGGACTTTTAAAAAATCCCTTTCTTCAAAGAAAGAGCCTCAAGACAATTAATGGTGTACTTAAAGCAAAGTCTTTGGAGTAGGACAGACGTGAGTAGAATCTGCCTCTGCCACCGCCTAGTTGTGTTGCAGTGGGCAAGTTATTTGACCTCTCTAGCCTTCACCTTCCTTGGCTGAAAAATAGGGATAATCTTAGGTTACTTTTTAGGATTGCTGCAAGATTAAGTCAGTTGATACAGAGAAGGCACTTGGCACAGTGGCTGGTACATGGTGATCAGTCATCGCTTGCTAAGATGTAGTACTAGTGAAAACAGGACCCTGCATTGATTTACCATAGTACTTTGTAATCTAAATACTATGATGTAAAGTTAACAACATTAAATATAATGAGGTAAAGTCATACATCTTATGTTACATGATAAAGGGATGAGAAGTGGAAGCAAACACAGATATTTGTTATACATACACACACAAACATATTCGTAACAAAATAAAGAAGAAACACTCATGACAATTATAGTCCTTGTTTCTATAACTGGTCATGTGGTCATAGCTGGTATTGATGACTATCTTTTTCCACTCCCCAGTCCATGTTCTTTTTGCTTCAGCAAGCACCTGAGCTGGCCATGGATCTTTTCCTGGTGGAGTGACCTGATCTTCATTCCTGAAAAGGTCTGGGCTAAGAATGCAGCACAATCTCTCAGATATGATAAGGGCTCAAGCAATAGGAACTGATGAATAAATGAATTTTACAGGTTGCTGCATCTTAGGGCAGGATGGGCAGAGGTGGGACACAATTGATTTTTTATCTTCTCATATTGTTCCCTCTTCAAGGATGCCAATTACTTCAAAAGAATTTTGCTTAAACTTCCAAACAACATGCAAAATGCTGTAGCTTAAACAATCATTTTAATGAAACACGTTAGGGTGAAGAGACAGAAAAGTGGGTGAGGACGCTCGTGCCCGTTACTGCCCCTCTTTTCTCTTTAAGGTCAAGCACTTGTTTTACTTGCTCATTCACTGCAGGAAAAAGGCAGCTCATCTGTGGAATTCAGTATTACTATCACGTTAGGATCAGCCATCAAAGGCTCTTTTCAACACACTGGATTCTGAGCACCACAGCTTTGTTTTAGAAGCAGCACAGAATTATACTCCGGGCTTCTTTCCTTCACTGTCAATTATAGAAAAAGCAACTTGATACCTCTAAAGTTCTGCAGATTAAGGGTATGATTTCTAGAAAAATAATTTTTTTTTGGGGAAAGAAAACTCAATTGCAACAAAACAAACAGTAGACCTATGGGACCTGGGGCAGGGGATAGTTTATTGCTCTCTATCCCCCTGCAGAACTCAGCACAGTGTGCAGCACTGTGAGGTCTTAGAGGTCTTGGAGGAGGCTGGCTAAGAGCAAGATTTAATCTGCACTGTCTGGTACTGACACTTACACACTGAGGGTCAAGACCAGAGATGGGGCAGGACCAGATCTAGCAGGGCGGGGGGGGGGGTGGCAATGATTAACTTGAGCTAATATTGGAGAAGGGTGTGAGCTAGGAGGCATTTAGGGGCTGAGCCAGGGACTGGTTTCTCAGGGCAGTAGGCTGTTTTAGGGGTGCTTCATTCTGACTGAGAATCTTTTGTGCTTCTCTTTTAGAAAACATACAGGACATCTAATAATTCCTTTAGCTTACTTACATGTCTTACTCCCTCCTTAAAGGCAGGGACAAGGGCTGTTTCTCTCCCAAATCTAGCTTGGTAAATAGCAACTGCACTCTCTGGGGGTTGAAGAGAGATGGGCTAGGTGCTGAAGACCCTGGCCTGGGACCTGTACCTGGGCAGAGAGGAGTTGCTTTTACAGGGGTGAGGGGAAAGAGACAGAATCTTGGCACATGCTGTGTGACAGTGACTTGGTTCCCATAGTCTCTGCTTTGTGTTTTCAACCTCACAGCTGAGGGTTTCTCCAGTTCCAAAGGCAGCAGCCAGAATCTTAGGAGGAGGAGAAAGGCTTAAGTTGGGGCTGAGAATGGTTGTGTCTGACTCTTAGCCTAGTCCCAATCCTTCAGCTGCCTCTTTCTCCTGGGAGTCCCTGCTATTTCCTTCCTATCTCCAGGAGTTTATTAGTGATGCCCTGGAGGGCAGGGCAACTGGGAGCAAGAGCCCAAACCAAATAAATGACTATCTTGTTAGCAGGGGTGGGAAAGGCGGACCTGGGAAAGGCAGGCCGAGGTGCCTCTTTCCGGTTAACTGTGGGCTTAATCTCCAAACAGCAGGGCCTGAGCAAGGACTTGAAGAATTTATTTGGGGAATAAATGTTTTGTACGTTTTAAATAAGGAGATGATCAAAGTAAGATTTCACAAATCAAATGGTTTGCTGCTATACAAAGAGATGTTTTTCTTTTTCACAATTCTTTTTTATTCTTATTTTTTGAGTCAGATCTCACTCTGTTGCTTCAGGCTGGGGTGTTGTGGCACCATCATGAGTCACCACAGCCTCAACCAAGTGATCCTCCCTCCTCAGCCTCTCCAATAGCCAGGACTACAGGCATGCGCCACCACACCCAGCTTTTGAAATTTTTTTGTAGAGATGAGATCTTGCTGCTTTGTCCTGGCTGGTCTTGGAATCCTGGGCTCAAGCAATCCTCCTTCTTTGGCCTCCCAAAGTGCTGAGGTTACAGGTGTGAGCCATCACGCCCGGCCTCACAATTCTTTTTTTTTTTTTTGGAGTTGGAGTCTCACTCTGTTGCCCAGGTTGGAGTACAGTGGCACGCTCACAGCCATCCCAGAGACAACCTGCTGGGCTCCAGCAATCCTTCCGTCTCAGCCTTCCAAGTAGCTGGAACTACAGGTGCAAGCTACCACGCCCAACTAATATTTTCTTTTTATTGTAGAGACGAGGTCTTGCCAAGTTGCCCAGGCTGGTCTCCAACCCACGGGCTCAGGCAGTCCACTGACCTCAGCTTCCCAAAGTGCTGGAATTACAGGCTGAGCCACCCAGCTCGGTCACAATTCTTAAAAAGTGGAGGGATGATGAGAACAAATCTCACAGAGAGTACACTCAATAGGTAAGGTACATTAACCACATCATGACTGAGTTTCAGTTTCATTTAGAGTCCAATTATTCAAGTTCAGCTGGTCACTTAGGATGGAAACAGACTTCTATGGATGTAAAGTCTAGTCAGAGTTTGAGGCATGTCTTTCTATGAGAGGTTCTCGGGAAAGACAGCTTGACCAACCCATCAGAGATCTGTGAAAATACACAAGGTCCCTTGATGTTATTCAGAAATAGCTGGATGACTTACAGAGAGTGGGCCAGCCACAGCATAAGCTCTCAAAATCTTGGGTTTATATATGCTTTGGGTGGAAACCAGTAGTTGAGATCAGTAACTCATGTGTAAGGTCTGAAGGTGTGATGCAACATTCCTCCTGGAGGGGTAGTTCACTCCATGTTCTGATCACAGCAAAACATATGTTACTCACATAACAACTATATGTTTGGAATCATTTCAAAGCTATATAACAAAATCCCAAGGAATAGGAGGGGAGGACAGGTAAGAGTCACAGAGGAGGGAAAGAGAAAGGCAATCCAGGGGTGTATTGTTGAATTGATCAAGTTGGTCACTACTATGGGCAGCCAGGAGCTGTATAGAATGTATCAGAATTGTCCACCTGAAGAGCGGAAGAGCAAATACTTTTCCCACCAGCTCCTGTCTACCACTGGTCAAAGGATGTCCCATGAGGTGCGAATTCCTTTGTACTTCCAGGCTTACTCATGTGTCCAAATGGGCAGTGGGTCACTGTAAGGGTCAGAGTGACAGAGAAGCTTGAAGCAGGGAGATACCAGGTACAGCTAGGAGGCAAGGTGCTCTCAGGTTATACCTGTAGGGAGCCGGTTGCCACAGCAAAGCTGGGATGGGAAGATGTGAGGCCAGCCTCTGGAAGTGTCTGATGTAACCTGAGTGGTCAAATGTCTTTGTCTTCCATAAATAGAACTACAATTTCATTGAATTCTTAGTCCAAAGTCAGAATCTATGGTTTTCCTAGGTGGAAAGATTAATTATTCCTTTAACATCACCAGCAATGCATTTCCTCAAAGTGAAACCTGGTGACTAAGTATAGTGACTTATTGTTATGGCTGTAGTATGATATACTCTGGCTTGAGTCTGTCTGTAAAATGGGTACAGAAAACAAAGTGTATCCCTTCTTCATGATTCTCCCAGTCTTCAAGGCTTTATGTGCCAGGAACTGGGAATAAACAAAAAAGACACCTCAGCCCTCAAGAAGCTCATTAAGTGGAATTGACAGATTTCCTTAAAGCCCACCAGCCTAGTCCTGCTTGCACCTGCCTGACCCCTTTCCATTCAGCCCTTCTCTGCAATGTACCTAAACATAGTTCTGCTACTAATTTGCCCTGATATCTTCCCGGTGGCGGGAGAGGGGGTTGGGGGGGCGGGTTGCAGGTTAAGAGAGGAGCCCGATCTGTGGCCGATCGCCCTCTGATGTCCTATCGTTGTGACTATGGGAAGCGGCGCTACAGCATCCCTAAATTATTTTTTTAAAGACCACGCAGAAGCAAATCTTTAGATAATTTCATCTGATAAAAAAAATTAAAAACCAACCCACTATCTAAAGACAGCAAGTATGCACAGGACCTCGAAGGAGCCTTGGGCTCACCAGGGCATTCCTCATTTCCTGGAGCGGAGCCTTCTCCTCCCTGCCCTCGCCCTTCTCCCTTCTCCCAGCCCTCTCCAGTCCAGGAGAGAGATGGCGGTGGGGGAGATCTGCAACCGGCTTAGAGACCAGAGGGATGCACTGGGTGTCTGGCGACTCCGGGCGACCTCAGCGGGAGGAGAGCCAGGCCGCGCGCCCGAGGGCGCAGGAGGCGGCGCGGGAGCACTCCCCGCCCCCGCGACGCCCGCCGTCGGGCCCCGCCCGGCGCCGCCCTAACGCGCGCACCCGAAGTGTGCCGGCGCGTCCGGGTGGCAAAGGCCGGAGGCGGTGGGAGAGCCGGTGGGGGGACTTCGAGGAGGAAACGGCAGCGGCGCCCCCACTGGGTCTTCCAGGCCAGGAGCACGGATACCTGCGCAGCGCCGGGTTAAGGCGAGCGCACCAGCCGAGCTCTCCGCGGCGGAGCCCCCTGCCCATTTGGTTTTGGGTAAGAGGAGGGGTCCGCATCTGTGCAGCTCTGGCGGGATGCCCAGCGCCGTCTGCTGGGTTTGGTTTGGAGACCTCGCGTGGTCTCCTAGCCCGGTAGCCGGAACCCGGGTGGGGAAGAGGGGATCGCGCCCTGTAGGCCGAGCCCTGCAGCCACAGCGGAATT